ATAAAGGGGACTGGGTTTCGATGGACTTTTGGTCCTTCTTCCCTTTGTCCTTGTTTTCCTTGGGTACTTTGGTGTATTTCCCCAAGGCGTCTTTTCTTGGTGCTTCCACCAAGGCTTCGGCGACTTTTTCGTCTGCCATGTTTTCTAACTGGTGTGCTACAGCCAGTTTGATTTTATAATTTATGTCATCGTGGTCGACGACTGACATTGGGCCCATTCTTATGGTCCCAACGTTGACTTCCTCACCCTCTGAGTCAGGTGAGTATTGAGGTCCTTCGTATGGGTCCTCCACTTCGAAGCTTGATGCTTCGGAGTTACCAGAGTTGTTCTCTGGTTTCTCATCTGATGAGCTTTTTGACTCTTCATCTGTTGAGTTCGCGATTTCCATGGCAGCTATACGCCTTGGTTTTTCATCGCTCATTATATTGTGTCTTGGGCAATCTTTCGTTTGCCCTATTTTGCCGCATTTGCCGCAAATTGGAACTGACTTTTGGTCAGTTTTCCTCGAGTTTTTTGAGGGTGTATCCTCTTTCCATCTGGGTTTCAGCTCTTCTGCTTTCTTTCCTGATGGGAGGGCTTTGCCGTGGCTCGTTGTTGCCGTGGTGGTTGTTCGGGTATAGTAACCTGATTTGTAGGCTGAAGACATCTTCAGCCCGTCAATTATCTCGTCTACACGAGATATTGCTTTTAACATCTCCTCGTTTGAGGAGAAGTCTGCTCTGATTCTATCATGAGCAATCATTTCCCTCTTCCATTCGAGGGGAATGTAGTTTAAGAACCTGGCGTTAAAGGACGCCTGGTCTGGCGGCGTCACCATCTGGGATGCTGCTTTTGACAGTTCTAAGTAGAACTGTTTTAGGCCTTTTTCCGCTTCGTATTTGACGTTGCGGTATTTCTTTGTCGCGTTCAACGTGGCGGAGGCTTTGATGAAGGTTCTCATCAATATGTTGAGAACCTCGAGGAACATGCCCTCGTCTCCTCTGAGGAGAGTTTCGTCTCGGAGTCTAATTCCGAGGTCAAATGCGGGTCCCCCTAATCCACGAATCAAGCAGTCCAGGTGGACTTCGTCGAATTGGGGACCTTTGCATCCTCGCGAGGCGAGGAATCCCAGTAGTTCTGTGAACCACTGCCAGAACGATTCCATGTCGTTCTCCCCTGACCATTTCTTGTCAGGGAATGCCGGCCCATTCTTTAGGGCTTCTGGCTTCACTCCTTCTGGGTAGGGAGTGAGTATTCTCACTTCGGCCATTCTTATGGCCTTTTCGTACCATTTCTCCAGGTACTCTTCTTGCTCCCCTGCCTTCGCGGGGTCGCTGTCCAATGGAGATCTCTCCTTTGGGGGGGTTTTTGCTGGGGGGAATCTTCCTCGCAGCGTTTCTTTGGTTTCAGGCGAATTCGCCTGAAGTTGTATTTGTATTCTCTCATTGTTTTGAGAGGGTGTGAATGAGTTACCTCTCTGTTCGAGAGGTCCGTCATAATTGGATGTTTGGCCGAACCTTTGGTACGTGCCAATTCTCCTTCTAATCTCTGAACGATGTCTTCTTTCGGCATCGTCTTCTCCTATCCTTGGGAGAAGGATCTCCTTAGCGTCTCTGTCGAGTCGCTGGTGATATTCCAGTGTGCTTTCACTGGTGGTTCTTTTCGTGAATTTTTCACGAGTTCTATTTATGTCCTGGACCATGGTCCAGGGGTGTTTATTTGTTTCCTCACTTTTTTGTGAGGAGTTTATTTCCTTCAGCAAATCTGTTTGTTCGCTGATTTTTTCTGTCAACGCGTCGATTGCGTTGGCCATTCTTTCTAGAGTTATCTCTAGATGAGCCGTGCTATTATGGTTCATTTCCTCGATCTTTTTCTGGATCGAGTTTATCGCGTTTATTATGCGCGATTCCTGGTTTTCCAGGAGGAAGTTTGGTTGGGCGAGCAGTGACTCTCCCCAGTTGACATTTCCGCTTCTGGGGGTTCCAGAATGGGTTCTTGGAGTGAACACTCCACGCTCGCTTTGTTTTGGCGAGGCCGTTGCAGAGGGTGCTTCCCTTTCATAGAGGGGTCTGTTCGCTGGTTTCTCCTTATTTTTACGTAAGGCTTCCTCAGCGAACTCCCTCATTTCAGTTCGCCTCCTCTTCATTATCTCGGAGACCTCCTCCGAAGTTGGCGACCTTGCCTTGTCTGGCATGGTGCGTGGGAGTGTAAACAGTGGAGGCTCTTTTGGAGCTTCCGCGCTCTGAGAGATCCTGCTCTCAGGGCGTATTTTCGTGCCTTCTCGGGCTTTCAGCCTGAGAAGAAGTTGATCTTCACTTTCCGTCCTCCATTCGGACGGAACCTGGAACAAGTCCAGTAGTTTTTCGGATAGCCGACGCGGGGGTTCTTCCCTTTGTTTCCCTTTGTCTGCCTTTAGGGCTTGACTTGGGGACGTGATGGGGAACTCCAGGGGATAGTGGGGCCCTGGGGTTTCCTGCGGCGCTATCCGATCAGCTTTTTGGGCTGATCGTTTGGCGCTTACGCGTTTTTCGCGCAAGTCGATCACCTCGTGAGGAGGTAAGGGATCTTCCCCAGCTTGGGTTAGATCAGTTTGTTGTGGAGTTCTGGGGGTATTTTGCCCCGCACTTACTCCACTTAAGTTTCTAAAGCCTTCAGGGACCAGCCCTGAAGTGGTTGCTGATTCCGGATCGCATTGATCCTCGTCGTCATCTGACGATGGCTTTTGGTTTGAATCTCCCATGATGGGAGATTGCGGTTTCTTAATAAACCGCTCGCTTCTTTTTAACGTCGCTGCAGATGCGACCTTGCCCTTGCAGGCGTGTTTAGGCGCCATAAGCGCTTCCGAATCAGATGTTGAGATTATGTAGTTGTGGGTTGTGTTGTAAAACACACCTCATGCACTTAAAAAAGTGTGAGGTCTTTGGGGTTGCTCAGCACACAAGGCCGTAAGTGATACAAGATGATGTATTTTACGGTGGTGTGTAAGCGGTTACCCGGAGGTTCCCGCTTGTCCACGTGACTATGTGTATCTAGTTTACATGTGACTCGGGGTTCGGGGCTATTGCCCTGACAGTCTGGCTCAGACAAAGATGGTTGGGGTGTGGGGGACAACACGGAAGTTGGAGATGAATGAATCCCACTCATCCAAGAGCCAAAAAAGGCCCCACCAACAGTGGAGTCATGGTGCTGATCGAAAGTCACAGCCTCTGTTGTGCCATATGTTGTATATATGTTACATGCGAGATCAACCAAGTCAGCAAATGAACATTGATGGAGCAGGTAACCAGGCTTGCAATATTCTTGAAGCTCCTTGATGGGGTGCAATCGATTGATTTCACTGGAGACAAAAGGCCATGTTGCAGCCTTCTTGCGCAAAAAACATCTGTGATCAAGGATGGGCATCAAACTAACAGATAGACAAAGAGATTATGGACCTACCTGGCATAATGATAAGACCAGTTCAGCCAGCCGGTAGCACAGGTAAAATTCGACTTTTTCAGGATTGATGTTCCACCCCAGTACCTCAGCAGCAGTACGAAATCCAACATCCCCCTTCCCTACTTTTGATGCCCAGTGAGCCTTAAAAATCCCTTTTAAAAACACCCACTTAAGGTGCCACAGCTCTATAATGGGGAGCACCCATTTATGTGCAGTGAACCAGGAGCAACAGAGTGATGTTTGATCAAGTAGAGTGTGTAAGCAGGCTACTGTTGCTTGGTTCCTGGACACCAGGAACTGCCTTCCCTCCAATTCATCATGGCTCAGTCCCAGTTGTTGAACAAAGGCATCCAACACGACATCATGGTTGCCTTGGGTAGATGCTTCATTAAAACCTGAACACTCCAGTGGATGGTACTCAGTCTTCTGCAGCTTCATGTGACACTGTCAAAAGAACATTCCTTGGATAGGTCCAATCGCTATCCAGGTGATGCTGTCTAGTGGAGCTCAGTATTCCAGGTCATCTGACGGTGGGTTGGAGACAGACTGGAGGTGGGGTGGAGCTCCAAGGGTGATGGGGTGTTGAAGGGACTTGGCTTCAGCAACTTGGAACAGAGCACTGCACCCATTACATTCTTGTTGTCCCCAATTTGTCAGGGGAGCTGGTGATGGAGGAACTGAGGCTGCCAGCAGAGGGGGGGCCGGAGGCCCCCCCTCACTACTTAATGATGGAGGTGTTAGCGAGGGTCAATCGTTCATCATGTGATTCATTTGGGTTTTATACCAAGGCACCTTTAGACATGCCTGTTACTCAGTTCTTAGTTCAGGGTAGAGCAGCAGACGAGTGGGATGTGATAGACATCCTAGAGGAGGTATTTGATTTGAGGACTCAAGACTTTTATATTATAACTGGGGGGAACTATTCACTGGAGGGGTATGTGTGTACATATATCAGAACAATTTGGATCCGAAGGTAAACAAAGGTTACCAAGGGGAAGGAGAAGTAAATAGAAAGAATCCACAGGACAAATAAGGAATAGCTGAAAAGCCCGAATTACATCTGAGGTTTGTGGAGTGGGAGAATTGAAAGCCAACTGAATGGCAAGACCTGGAACCATCTAAGAATAAGCAGGGGACTACAGAGGAAGACGTCTGGAAAGGTCTGGAGCCTGGAAGTTGTAGTCCGGAAGATTGGGGTTGTAGAAAATATCAAATGATAAAACAATAAAGATTATCAAGACCGGAGGTAAGGTAGGAATGGGGAGGTACCAGAGGTGTGGAGACCGGAAGTAAGAAGGAGGGTGGGTAGGCAAGTTGAGGTTTATCAACAACAAGCAGGTCCATCTCCTTTGAACAAGGGGTCTGAGGAGGTGGAGGTGTGGTAGTGGAGGTCCGGAGGTGATGCAGATGTAGATGGGAGGCAGAGTGGGAGAGAGTCGAAGGAGGAGGTAGTCCTAGGGCCGTTGGCATTGACTGGAGGCAGCAGAGAGAGATTGGGAGGGCTGGTGGAGGTCATAGGAGTCATATAGTAATAGGGCAGAGGGAGGTGGAAGATCCAGGATATGACAGACACTTCACATGTTTCACATATTGGAGATTATTGACATCTTTTGAAGGTGAGGTATAAACTTGAGGAAAATCCGCAGGATATTTGCAATGGCAACACCTTCAAGGTGGAGTGATTTCGGATCGGCCTTGAGACTCTTGAAGGTGATAGATTTGTTGCTTGACTCTGACTTGTGGCACTCATACTCTGGTCCATCAAATGCATCCTTCAATCCATCAACTTTGTGTTGTACAATCACAGTGGCAGCTGTTCCACTTTCAAGCTTGTTCTGATTGGTAAGATTTGCTCTCCAAGCTCGGTGATATTGATTTATGTTATTGTAGACAAGATGAATTCGAATTTTTCCTGCCGCAAGTGTGCAGCCAAGGGCATTCAGCATCGCTTTCTTATCTTGGCCCAGACTATGCAGCCGTTCAAGGGTGTTGCTGTATGCAGTGACAAGGCCCACATGCCCAAGAATTGAATGGAGAGACCGGTGAGCATTGGTGGTGAAAAGTACATTCCCAAGCACAGTTTGTAACATGTTTGCTTTGACGTAATGGAAGTAGGCCAGGATGAGAATGGATACGGTACATCCCTGACCAACCAAAGATCAGATCTGGTACATGAGTGTGTTGCCTAAAGCACAAACCAGCCATGGGTCCCGTCTATTCTTGCCTCCACAGCCTCAATGGCATCTTCATGGGCCTTTTCCAAGTGAGACACATTTGATCCAATTGTGCTTGTTGTGAGAATTGTCCAGAGTAGTGGGGTCTTTTCCCTCACTCTCCCTTGGATTTGTGTGAAGGAAAAGCCAGTCACTTTTTCCCATGTAAGTGCTGTATGTTCACTGGCTTTCAGTATTTTGTCGCTTGCTAACAACATCATCTCTTGATCCACCTCCTTGAGTGCTTTCTGGGCAAAGTACTGTTTCAATGACTTTTCAGAACCCTTGCCACTGAAGTCTTGATGCTCATAGAAGCTTGTTGCCTGAATTCCTTTGGCACTTGCGGGGAAGCCACCAGCAGCCTCTTGATGAGGATGAGAAGTGAAAGGAGGGAGTGGGTGGTATGTTGGCTGGCATCCCATGTCACGGCCGAAGTCATGTTCAAAGATGAGTCTTACGATATCAACAGGTTGTGTGCCCCAGTCATTATAGCCCTTGAGAAAGTTGTTGACTTTCTGATGTGCACTGGGAAGTAAAGCATCCTTTCTGCTCTGCAAGTCAAAAATGACAGATAGGAACTTTCCCAAGGACAATCCCTCCCAGTGCATGATAGCCATCACAAGATTCACACCATGGAGCCTTTCACTGCCAGCAGCATGCACATACTGTTGTTGCTGTGTGGAGCCGCAAGTTTTGCATGCCAAGACATAGGTAGGGGTAGAGGGAAGGTATGTGTTGACTCCGTGATCACTCAAGCCTATCAGAGGGAGACCAGAGGATGTGGGTGTGCAACATGCTTGGAACCTGAGACACCAGTGGCTTCTGTAACCATTTGTGATAAAGGAGGTGGGTTCAATTTCCCAGAATTATTTGAGAAAGCATGAGGCTCGCTTGAAGGATTGTTTAGGTCACTAAGTGGTGATCATGGTGATTGTGGTGACTTGCACTTCTGAGGAGTGTTGGAAAGTGTCTGTTTTGGGGGTTGACCCAATGATGTACTGGGGTTGAGTTGCCTCCAAATGTGTGGAGTTTGCTGAGGGTGACCTCCAAGAGCACACATTGAGCTTTAGGTATCCATGGGCATGTACGTTCCTGTCAGGGCTCAGTCCTCGAGTGGGGACAGCCCAGCCTCAGGCCTAGGTGTGTGCGATGTTCCAGGTGCCTGGGTGCTAGATCCTGTCCTCAGCTCCTCAAACTCACTGAAGGGACTAAGCAGGGATTGAGTTGAGAAGAAGGGTAAGTTTCCCTATTCCCTGCTTGGCTGCTATAAAAGGGAAGTGTACTGTACAGTTCATAATGTGACTATGGGTAGATGCTGAGCATGTTCCCATGACTCGGAAAAGGTGTCACATGGGTTAAGGCAAGTTGCTCGCCTTGACCCACATGATTTTTCCCGCAGGCTCACATGTGGGCTGTAGTTGTGAGAGATATGTAAAGATGGGGAGGTCAGGGAAGTGGGGGAAGTGGGGGAAGTGAGGGAGGGTGGTTCTGGGGTTGTGTGGTTGGGTGCCCTGACAGTGGGGTCAAGGGCCAATCCCTGACATCACCCCCCCTCTACGCCGCTTCACCTCGAAGTGGCTGTGGTCCATGGTTGGGGGGTTTCCTTTATTCTCCTTGGTCTGGGGGCTTCTGGGTGGGCCTGGTGAAATTCTTTCAGGAGGTCTGGGGAGTTCTCCAGGTTCTCTCTGGGGAGCCATTCATTTTCTGAGTTTGGCCAGCCCGAGAATTTGACAAAGTACCAGAGCCATTGTTACAAAAATGGGGCCGGAAGCGCCCATTTTCGTCCGTTCTGGTGCAGGAATAGGGAAGGGGGTTGGACATAATGGTTTACAGGTGGTTTCACAGATGGTTTGACATGTGGTGTAACAGATGTTAGCACAGCGGGTTTTTGGTTAATTATTGATTGGTTAAACTTAATTACTATACAAATCATGTGATACAGAACCCATAAGAGTCTAGAATGGGAAATTCCCATTTCCATAACAGCCATCCATACCGGTACCTGGAATCCAAGATTTTCTCCACTTCATACTCCTCTTCCCCATTCACAATGTCCAGGCCAGGGAGCGGGTCTGCATGGTGTTTGGGGATTCAGTCTGGGGTGTAGGGGCATGTCATATCCATACAATCCCGATCTCCGCTCCGGGCTCCCGGAACTCCGAACCTGACTTCCGGAGTCTTACTGTCATATCCATCCCTGGCCATCGACTTCCGGTCCCTCCGTTCCCTCCGTTCTACTCCGCTCCTCTCTCACCAACCTCGGAGCCCCCTGTATTCCGCAAACCTCTCGGTACCCCTCGATGGTCACCACCCCCTCATTTCAATTTATTACCTACGCCTCCCTAAGTACGGAGCCCCGAAGACTTCCGGACAGCTCCGACATCCGCTAGCGCACCCCCACCTCCGCTGGGCAATACACTCGCCTGCCCTGCAGAGCCCACCTTCGGGCCTATCCCTCCTTTCCATTTCTGGGTTAACGCCTGCCTTTCCGCTAACCCCGCGAACCGACTCGTCGGTAATATTCAGTCGGCTAATGTTTTAACCCCGTTAGCTCCGCTCCGTGAACCGTCTCCGCTGTAACCATATATATATCTCCCACTTGTACATAGGTTACGCCCCAGTAGAAAAATCAACTAGAGTTACCCCCCTAGGTTCTAAGTGCCAGTCAGTAAGTTAGGGCACGGACGTGTCACTAGGCACAGCGCTCTTGGCAGAAGTCACTGAGGCCAAAGCCCTCCATTACGGAGACATTCCTTCATCTCGAGTCTGGTCTCTGACACTTACTTCCCTTCCGTCACCTCCTCCTTGCCGACTCCCAAGAGGTTATCCCACCTCCAGTTCTGACACCACCTTCGGTCCGACTCCGGGACATTCCGGGTCTGACCCCAACCTCGACACCTTCCAGACGAGTACGCAAAACCTATGCTCCTGACTCCGGACCTCCACTCCGGAATCCCGTTCACGTCTCCGTCTCCGGAACCTCCGGTCTTAGCTCCGACCTCGGACTTTGACCCCACCTCCGCTTATACCCATTGTATTGGTTAGCTCATTCCATTTAATTACGTTTGCCAATATTCCGGAGTTTAACTTCCGAGTTCGGACTTTCCGGACTTACCTCGGACCTTGCAACTATTGCATTGTCCCATTCAATTCCGCTATTCTCCCTCATTCCTATTTGGGCTGCTGCTTCCTTTCTATTCAGTCAGCTAGCCATTCCCCACTCCCAACCTCCTTCCTTCCTCCTTGGGCCTTGGCCCTTCATTCCTCCTTTGGGACACACCATTGAGTCAAACCCTTGACCCTCGGTGTTGTTCCTCTTTCCATCTCCCTTTGTCTCCTTTCATCCTACCCTCACTCCTTTTGATTCCGGACCCCTCCTTATATACAATGTACATAGTAACTTGTAACCTCAGTCCGAAATCGACATGAATTCCCCCCAAGAGACTTTCCCTCTGCTAGATCCGAAATTAGGGACCCCTAGGACAACCAGCAATGGCACAGCGCTCCGCATGAGTCACTGAGGCCGAGGTCCTTCCACACTAAGTCTCCGATTCCACTCCGGAGTCGTCTGCATCTGCCCGTTCTAACAGGGCGGGTGTTTGAGACCGAGACTACTGGGTGAATTCCTCTTTGATGGGCCATAAGCTGTAGCTTTACTGCTGCTGGGGATACCACCTTGACGATCTGGAAGGGGCCAATCCATCTGTGGTCAAGCTTCTTGGTTGGTCGGTCTGTCATGTAGTTTTGAGTGTTGAGCCAAACTTTGTCCCCAACTTGGTAGACTGGTGCTGCCTTCTGGTTCCTGTCATAGTACCATGCCATCTCTTCTGCTGCATGCTCCAGTGCTGCCTTTGCCTCCTCTTGCATCTTCATCATCCGAGAGGCAAAGTCGTTGGCCCCTTCAACTTCAGACATGCAGGTTGGTTCAGTTCCCATGCATGGATTTTGCCCGGAGTCAAGCTCGAAGGGGGTGCAGTGGGTGGAAGAGTGGATGCAGTTGTTATAGGCGAACTCGGCAAGTGGCAGCCAGTCAGCCCAGTCATCTTGCCTGTGGTTGACAAACACCCAGAGGTAGGTTTCTATTTCCTGGTTGACATGCTCCATCTGGCCATCAGTCTGTGGGTGGTAGGCTGTTGAAGGGGCGAGCTTGATCCCTAAGAGGTCTGCTAGCTCCCTGGAGAAGCGGGAGACAAATGCGCTGCCTCGATCGCTGAGCACTTCCTCTGGGGGGCTATGATGCCTCCAGACATGTTCAATGAAGAGCCAGGCCACACCTGCTGAGTCTACTGTAGTGACTGTGGGGATTGCGTGAATGCGCTTGGAAAGTCAGTCTATGTCATATCCGTGCATACCTGATCCTGAACCGACTCCCAGACCTCCACCTTCACCACCTCTGGAGTCCTACCCTCCCGCTGTCCGTTCCGATATTCACCTTCGGTCCTAACACCACACCTCCTCTCACCCCCCATGCCACCTCCACTCCTCCATCCCTCTCCTGTCCTATCTCCGTCCGCTCCAATACTCACCTCGGACCAAACACCACTCCTCTTGCCACCCTCCTCCTACTCCTCTCGCCACCCTCTTCCTACTCCTCCTGTCAGAGACCAGGTTGAGACAAAGGAGTGTCTCCGTGGCGGAGGGCTTCAGCCTCAGCGACTTATGCCAGGAGCGCTGTGCCAAGTAACATGTCTGTGCCCTAACTTACTAAACTGGCAACCAGAACTGAAGGGGGGTAAACTCTAGTCGATTTTATTACTGAGGTGTAACCTATGTACAAGTTGAGTATATATAGTTACAGTGGGGGTGGGCCCATAAATGGCGGGGCCGAGCAGAGTGGAGCTAGTGGAGTTAAACATTAGCTGATTGAATATTACTGACAAGTTGGGTTATGGGTTTAATGGAATGGTAGGCGTTAACCCAAAAATGGAAAGGAGGGATAGGCCCAAAGGTGGGCTTGCAGGGCAAGCGAGTGTATTGCCCAGTGGAGGTGGGAGTGCGCTAGCGGATGTCGGAGCTGTCCAGAAGCCTTCAGGGCTCCATACTTAGGGAGGCATAGGTAATAAATTGAAAGGAGGGGGTGGTGACCATCAAGGGGTACCGAGGGGATTGCAGAATATGGGAGCTCTGAGGTTAGTGAAGAAGGAGCGGGGGTAGACCAGAGGGATCGGAGGGATTGGAGGGAGTGGAAGTCGATGGCCAGGGATGGATATGACACCTCCCACACCTCCACTCCCTCCTCACAACACCTCCACCCTTCCATCATCCTCCTACTCTTCTCCTGTCTGCTCCGATACTCACCTTCGGACCTGACAACTCTCCTTTCCACCACTCCTTCCCTCTTCCCTCTTTCCTCTCTCTTCCCTCTGGTCCTCTTCCGCCGACCTCCTGCCAAGTTACGACCTTCCACCGCTGTCCCGTACCTCGTACTTGGACACCGCTCGTACCTTTGCTCCGAGACTCCATCATAGCTCCTACCTCGGACTTTGACTCCACCTCAGCCTTAGTCCATTGCATTGGTGACCTCATACTATGTAAACACCATTGCCAATATTCCTCGGACTTTCAACCCTGCCTCCATAACCTCTGTAACATCCATAACCTCTGAGCTCCACGGATC